TAGAGGCCACATTATATTTCATTATGTCCAGACTCTTCCTCACACGAAGGATTAATCAACGTTAGAAAAATATGGACATCCTTATCCGCTTTGTAACCTTCTATATTACAACTCTTGCTTATAAGCTTGGTGAGCTTTTGTGATGGTTGCTTGTCAAGTTTTATTGCACTTCGTCACCAGGTAAACGGATGCTACTTCATTTCCTTGTATCTTTCATGCTTTTAGAAAATCATTCAAATTGTTCAACCGTGTATCCAGCAAAGATGCTTAAATGACCGCCAACAAACCTTGACATCATAAGTTATGCAACGTGTGAGCCAAATTTATGCACAACAGATATATTCAAATAGTAATTATTCATTCAAGTCTTTTTGATTCACAACAAGTAGAGAACTCACTTTTAAGGCATGCAATAGTTATCTAGTAGTGACAACAAAGGATTTAGTAACCTTTTTCAAAATTTGAAAATCTATCTTTTTTCATAAAACAAATGCAATGAGATTTACAGTTTGAATGATCTAGGTAGATATATCTATGTCTAAGATCATTCAAAAGATTTCATGGAAAATAAATTTCAAAATCATGCATTAACAAATTCCACTTGGATTCCTTATTTCTCTACGATTGGCTTATGCGTAAAACGTTTCATGTCTTCTATCTTGTATTATTATCTTCTTATATTGAAACCAGCTCAAGAGAGGTGAGGAGCTAGGTCTGTGTTAGTTTTATCTTTATTTCCTTTCTTTGAGTCTGTTGTTTTTTGGTGTGGCATCTGATGATTGTAACTTGGAAGATTTTCCCTGTGGTGCCCCTAAAAGATTTCTATTTTGGTAACAATCGTCTGGGACGATATTATAATCGTCCTGGACGATCCTGACAAAAGTAAAAACGCCTAAATAGAGCAATGCCTCATTAAAGCAGCCATCTTTATGTAAAACACATCGTCCTGGATCGATTTTGTATCAGCCAGGATGATCGGCTCAATTCAGCAAAGAAATCGCTTTGATATCTACTTATAAAATTTTATTTTTGGATATAGCCAGTGGATCAGCCTGGATAATAAAATATCAATCCAGTGATGATCTCTCTATATCTATATTCAAAATTTCTCAGTAAGTTTTGAAAGCAATTAATGTGGATGTTCTTCATGCGAGACCTCAGACTCGCGTAGAGATCGTCCCCGAAGATGTATTAGCATCATACCGCTTCATGTTCAGCGGCGATATCAGGTTGGATTTTCTTCGTATTTGAAACTAAATCGGCTCCAGGAACGATTATGTCTATCACCATCGTAGACGAATAATGCGGCAACTTGCATTAATGAGCTCGTTTTGAGAGCTTCAAATTTAAGCTATGGCAGGCACTTTAATAAGTGACTTTGGAAGCTATTGTAAGCTTAGTTCTTCTGGAGGGAACTTGAAGAGAGAGCTTGAACGTGAGAGAGAAAGGGGTGGAGTTTGAGAGAGAAGATCTGTGAGGGGGAGGAACTGCAAGGGAGTGTGGTGGGGATTCGACCCGTTGCTCCGGCAAACCGCACCTTAGACCATCGATTCAAGGCTTGTCTTGAGGTAAGTTTCACCAAAGAAGAGATCCTTTTTTGTTTGTAGGACCCAGCGACTCTCTGTATCCGGAGAAGGAGTGGAGAGTGAAATTGTTGATGAAGGGCTTCTCCGCCTAGCGTGGAGGCTAAAAGGAGAGACACTTTGTTTTAGTGGCAATCTTGGAGGGTGGCCTCCATGAGGTGGACGTAGGTCAAGCATTTGACACTAAACCACCTATAAATCAAGTGTGTTCTTTCATAGGATCTTCGCATATATCATTTCCGCACATTTGATTTATTTGTGGTGATAATTGGTTTTGATTTGAAGTTTTATCTTTGGCTTTAAAGTTATCCAAATTCACCTCTCTCATCTTTATTTATAGCTTTGAGCCAGTTCATAAGGGCTTAATATTTCTAACGACTTTCAAGTGGATCAGAGCGATTTTCCAAAAAGATAAGTTTTTAATAGCGAGAGAGTTTTTGATCCATGGCTAACTTGTTCTATCGTAATTATTGCGGAGGATATTCAATCACCAGAACCACCTTATTTGAAAATATGTCATTTGATTTTGGAAAACTCGCATGTCTATTTTCTGCATCAATTGATTTTGCATATGGCATATGATTTTAAACTAGTTATTCATCACCGTCCACCTATTATTAAGTGGAGTTAAATTGATATTCCTTTTAATCAATGGAATTTAGGAAGAACAACTGAATGCACTCAAATCCCACTCGCCAAAATCTTTTAAATTACTTTTTCCTTGTGCTTTATTCTGAAGATTTTTATGTTATGTATCCACAATGCACTACTGGTGGAAGTTTGGGATAAACTAACACACCATATAGAAGACTAGTGAAAATCAAGCAATCCAAGTTGATTTGTTAATGGCATGACTTTTGAATTATTTTCCATGAAAAATCTTTTGAATGATTCTTAGGCAATGTATACCCAGATTCATTCAAACTGTAATAACTCATTTGCAGGCTTTAGAAAAAGATTTTTAAATTTTGAAAAAGTTAACTAATTCTTTGTTGTCTACCTAGATAAGTATGATGCTAAGTAGTTTTCTATTGTGAATCAAAAGATTTGCAATGATATTCTATTGATATTTGATTGGCCTCAACTCATTGCATATGATCAAGGTTTGGGTCAAAAACTTTTGATAACAGGTGAAACGATGTTCTAAAGCTGAAAGATACAGAAATAGATAGCTTAAGGTTGTGACGAATGCAATAACTTGACAAGCAAATCACAAAGCTCACACAAAGCATAAGCAAAAGTTGAAAAAAAGGTAAAAGCGGTAAGGATGTCCATATTTTTTGTTCTAACGTTATTTTCTTTCCGATGTAGGAGCCCTGGACATATGAAAATACAGTGCCCTAAATTTAAGAATTATTCTTACTAAAGAAAAGGGCAAGGAGAAGCAAAATTTAAACTGGAAAAATAATTAAAGGCAAAAAATCTCAATGGGCAGATCTGGTTTTCTAAAGCAAACGGACCAGGAAAAAGAGATAATGGTTAAAAAAGCCTTTCGTGTTTTTGGTTGTGTTTGTCTTTATGTTTTTTTTTTGTTTTATTTATTTCTTTGAAAATTTTTTGTTTTTTTTGAAAAAGTTTTTTTTATTAACACAAAACATTCAACTCTTCTAAAATTGAAAAATCCTACTTCCTGTTTTTTTTTTAAAATCTTTGGTAATGTTGTTTTGACATTCTCTAAATAGTCATAAGAAAGATACACCCTCGTGTTTTTTATTGCGTCAAATCTCTATTTCCTAAAAAGAGGATATCCTACTTTGGAGTTTAAAATCTTTTTTCATCTTTTGAAATTGGTTTTTAAAAACTAAATTTTTAGCTCTTATATTTTATTTATCGCATAGGGACTTTTGCAAAGTTGTTGAATATAACTCATAGTTTTCTTATCAAGAATTTGCTTTATAAATAGGATGGATTTACTTTTATTTTTTTAAGAATTCAGGAAAGGTAGCATTTTAAAAAAAAAATGGCCAATGATGCCAAAATAAAAGATGCACAATGAACGCCAAATATTGAAAAAAATAGTACATAAAAGTGTAGTCAAAATCAAAATATGCACAAGAGCGGCCATTCAATTGACAAGAGGCCATAAAAACGAACTCACAAAACATTAATGCTTACCATTCTTGTTACTTCTTAAAAGCTTAAGAAAAAACCCTTGAATTCTTTTGATACTTGAATTGAAAAATCTTTGATTCCTGATTCCCAAAATTCCATGCAGTTCTTCTATTAGATATATTTTATGAAAGGCATTTGAAAAATATGTTTCTTTTCCTAATTTATTCATTGATTAGATATTGAAATAACAAGTTTTTTGAGGCCTTTTTATAGAAAAACTTGAGTTTGGATTATCAATCTGAATTCTAACATTTTAATGGGCTTGCGTTGTCAATCCAATTCTACTAAGTTTTTTATTAAACTAAGAAGGTAACTTTCCTCATTTTAAAATATTGTCAATTCACTAGATCAGGGAACATTTTTTTTTTTCTTTTGTTTCATTTTTGTTTTTTTGTGCCTCCTCTTTCCTTTTTGATAAGATGTCAAAGGGGGGAGAAACGTAGTGTTTAATTTTGTACTATTCCGTGGTTTGTATCTTAAAAAATTAAAAAAAAAAAATTTCTCCCTTTATTTTTTAAAAGAGTTATTCTAGTGAGGGGGAGATTAGGAGAGTATTTACTTTTTTTGAAAATTCAAATTGAAATATTTTGCCATCATCAAAAGGGGGAGATTGTTGCGGAATCTATGGTTTATGATTTTGATGTAGCAAAACATTCCTTATTTCTCTATAATTCCTTAATGTGCTAACGTTTCAGGTCCACACGATCACTGCAATCTGAAACCAGCTCAAGATTGGGTGACTAGGTGTGTGTCAAGTTTGTAATCTTTTATTTCTTCTTGAGTCTGTTGTATTTTGGTGTGGCAATCCTAATGATTGTAACTTGGAGAGTTTTCTGTTGGTTCCCTAAGATTTCCTTATTTTTAGTAAAATCGTCCGGGAAAGAATTTATATCGTCCCTGGATGATCTGACAAAGTAGAAACCCTAATAGGAGCATCCTCATTAAACAGCGCGTATTTATACAACACATCATCCTGGATGATTTGTAATCGGCCAGGACGATCGGCTCAATTCAGCAAAGAAATCTGCCCGCCATATCTACAATAGAAAATTCTTATTTTTGGATATTGGCCTGGTGGGATCGGCATGGACTATAAAATATCGTCTAGGACGATCCAGGACACATTTTTTCCAAAATTCTCAGGCAGAATTTGGAAGCAAATTAATGGGATTTGTCCGGGCCGATCGAAAGATCATCCGGGCGATTATACAATCGTCCAGCTTCATTTCAAGTGATATTCAGGCTATTTTCCTCATAATTTTAAAACTAATTGTCCAGATGATATGTCTATCGTCCTGGACGATAATGGCGGCAACTTACATTAATGAGCCTCGTTTTTTGAAGAGCTTCTATTTAAGCTATGGCAAGGCACTTTGTAAGTGTCTTTTGGCAGCCATTGTAGCTTCGTCTTTGTGGGGGAAAAACTTGAAGAAGAGAGCTTTAAAGGGAATAGAGAAAGGGTGGAGTTTGAGAGGGAGAAAAGATCCTGTGAGGGAAGGAACTTCAAGGGAGGTGGTGGGGGATTCCCCAACACGGTTTGCTCCGGCAAACCTCGCACCTAGTTCCATCGGATTCAATGCTTATCTCGAGGTAAGTTACAAGAAGAAGATCTCTTGGTGTCAAAAGGACCCCCACGACTCCGCCGCACCGGGGAAGGTGGAAGTGAATTTTTTTAGGCTTCTCCACCTAGCTGTGGAGGCCTAAAGGAGAGACACTTATTTTAGTGGGCAATACTTGGAGGGTGCCTCCAAAGGAGTGGGACTAGGTCAAGGTTTAACCGGAACCACTATAATCTGGTGTGTTTTTCTTTAATTACTTCCGCATTGATTTATTCTAGTGATATTGGTTTTGGTTTGAGTTTTTATCTTTGGCTTTAAAGTTTATCCAATTCACCTCTCTCTCTTTATTTAGCTTGGGCCAGTTCATGAGGGCTTAACATCCCTAACGAACTTTTAATTTCTAATAATCTCATGATTTGATCTTCCACAAGTAAGCAAAATATAAATTATTAAATAAATATTAGTGATCATTATAATAGTTTGTATGGAATATCATAATTGTCACAGTTTCTAGAGACTTTTTTTATGAGTTTGCGTGTATAATATATTTATTTTTATAAATTTCTAAAATGATTGGAGAATAACATCATCATATAATAAGTTCAACCACAAAGATAAATAAAATGACAATTGTAATGAATAAGGATTCTAAAACCCCAAAAACTAATTTACTCATGGGGTTAGTCCATATGAGGCTTATACAGAGACATTGCCTACTTTGAAAACCCTCTGCTCCTTCCCGTTCGACTAGAGTTTCTCTAGCTCCTTATGGCTCGGGCCGCTCTATTTGTGGGTCTTTCATTTACTTACTTTCCTGAAAATCTCATGGAGCTTCACTAAAGTGGTTCCAGGGAGTTCGTCTGCGGGGCCATGGCTCCATCTTAAGGGATGTCTTTTCCTATGTTTTCTTTTCATTTTTTCTAATGGTGCCTAGTTTTCATGGTGGCCAACCGGTTGTTGGATCTCATTGACATTCACTATTTTCTTCATCATTACACTTAAAAAATTTCTTACTTATCAAAATAATCATTAGTTACGTTGATATTGACTACTCTTTCAACTCTATCTAATTACTAACAGAGGATTTGTTAAATATTGGGTTTATATTGTTATTAGTGAATTTTAATTATTATAAACCTAAATGAACATGTAAAATAAATTTTTGGGTAAATATCTATAAAGTCTAATATCTCGGTCGATGTTGCGATTGTATATTTTTATATTGGATCAAGTCATGTTGACTCCTGCCATATCAAGGAGAAGGATTGGACTTGAACTTAAGGTTATTTCTGGCCCCGCACAACATCCTTATATGTCAAAAGTGTAACATACTCATTGGGGCCCATGAGGGTTTTTAGGGGATAATTTTATAATTATCCCTTGAACCTTGTCAACACAATCTAACCATTGACAGAGGATTGGGTTCATTGCAAGTTTTTATGCTTTTATTTAATTGTTTGATGGTTTGAGCAGTGTCGACTCCTATCTACCTATATAGAAGGATCAGGCTCAAACTTGGTTTCATAATTTGACCAATGCAATATCCCTAGATATCATGTGTGTACCTATTACATGCTCATTAGGTCCCATGCAGGCATTTAGGGGACATTTTCAAAATATTTGACACTAATCAGCATTGCGGGGAATTATCATTTTTATACAATGTTAGATTTGGAAGCTCGTATACGCCATATGATCGTTATAGTGATATTATAGATTTGGTGGCATGACATCATACTATGGGTTGCTCATTACTGTTTACAGGTAGATTATCGTGCACAAACAATTCTCCTACTATTGCATGAGGATGCTACAATTTACTGCAACTCCCTTATATTTTTCTTATGCATGGCATGCTGGATGTTTGATGAATCTTCTACAATCGTTATGGCAGCTTGTAGGTTTGTTTTCATTTGTTGTAGTATTTGATTTTTTCAGTACATCCTCTTCTAGTGCCTGTAGGAAGGTAGATGTATTCATTCATAGAATCATCACATTCATCATATGTCAACCACCACAATTTAAAGATGTTGTTATCAATTGTTATTCTATCAAATCTACTGACAGATGATGCATCATATGTGCGTATGTGTTCATGGGGGTCTATGATACTTACAACACTCTAACATTGCTGCTTACATATAAGCTGCATCAACTGTGGTTATTTTAAGTACAACACTACATTCATTACAAGCCTTCTTACTTGGACATGTTGGTGAGAATACTACCATATAATTTGTGTACCAACTGTCACCACTTTTAGGAGAATTAATATAACAACTTATGAACTATTGTTGACTGCTAGTGAGTTATGTCCACTATGCTTATCTTTTCATTAGAGTTTGCAAGAAGCCTTTCCTATTGACAACACACCAATCGTCATTGCTTATGAAGTAGATTGAAATTTTCATTTTTTATATTTTGTTGGTTGTTGGGTGTGTGATGATCATCACCCATTTCTCTATATGCTTTGGTTGACAAATTGCTAACTTCCTTGCATATCAACCTTCAAAGTTCATTGATATCGATATTATTTTCTCATATGTTAAATAGCATATGTCGTAGGAATGCCACTACTTTTATTTTGCATCCTTCATGCTCTGTTTGTGAGCAAATCCCTACATATTCTCATGTTGTCATCCATATGTGGCTCGTTATATGCACGACTGATCTCCTACAACGATTCATAGGACCTTATATGTATTACAAACATGTTGTCCTCTGCTTGCAGGTTGTCTGTTAATTGGATTGTAAGTTGAGATCAACAACATGGAGACTATTGTATTCCGTACACATCTTTGTTATCGCTTACTAGCAAACATCTTTGTTATCTCTTACAAGAAATCTATTTTATACACCATATACCTTTTGTTATGCCACTAGATGATTTATAAATGAAATTTCCATCACTTCCTTCTAGCAATTGCATATTACCTAATATACTTGCCATATTCATTGAAAGTTTCCATTGGTATATGTCAACTTGCATTGAATGTGGGAGGATCTCACGCCAACTTGCACTTGTTTGTAAATTTCTTGCAATTGTGTCAAACACAAGTTTCTCATTTGCTCATTGATATTCATCATAAGGCCTTCATTATTAGAATCTTCGAGTTACTTGTTTTTATTTTTAGATTGATTAATTGAGTGTCATGAGTCATCTTGTTTTCACTATTCATTATACATGTGCACTTGAGAGCTTGATCACCAATGGCCGTTTGCTTCGTATGGTTAATTTTTATGGATTTGCAAATTACAAATTTTTTATTTTAAATATCAAGTTTAATTTCCTGTTCTTATTTAATTTATGTTCTCTATTCTTAGTTTAAAATCAAGTCCAGGTACAATCACATGCTTTTCTTTTATTTAATTTCAGGTCCTCAACATTTGCTATAAATTTTTGCATCCTCCACTATTTAGGAGAAATTTTTGGAGTCTTAGCCTCCCACCACGCTTGATAAAAGTGTGAACGATATGTGTCGGGTCACACCGAGGCCATAAATTTTTAATCCCTTTATGCTATGAGAGTGTGTAAGGGTCTTCGAGGTAATTGTTTGAAATGTGCAATTCTTTTCCCGCCACGCTACGTGAGTGCTTAAGGGTACTTAGAAGATTCCACACCACGCTATGATAGAATGTATAGGGCCTACTCTTCATTGCAAATACCGTAGAAAGTTCTCATACCACCACGATAGAGAAAAGTATATATAGACGATTTTCCTGAGCACCATAAACGTAGAATGCAGTATTTAAGATTAGAATGTTATACCCTTGCGAGGGTAGGTGTCGACGACTATGAAGATAAACTCAAAAATTTTTCTCTTTCTGTTTCCCTTTTTTATATCATATATCATGGTGGTGGAGATAAGCTTGGGTTGGGGAAAATAGGCGGCTTGGAGGTTTTAAATTTAGTGGATTGGTGCCAAGAATGCAACTTGAGGCTAATCGACGAATAAAAGATACATGGGGCTCTTGGATCAGAACGCTATTCCGGGAGTCGGAAGAAGTTTAGCTAGAGGGCCCTATCGTGAACTGGAAAGAAATGAAGAAGAGAAGGTTGGGGCTTGAGTGTTAGACACCGAGCTTGGTTTGAGGTCGGTAACTGCAACTTCAGCGAGCGGAGGCAGGAGGATTCAAATGAGAGAAGGGAAGAAGTTGTAATAAAGGTTGGCATCGTCATGGATATAGCAGCTTCAATATATGATAAGAGGTAGAGTCGACATATAGAAATGGACTTGGCTAGTAGGATTTGAGCATATAAGGATGAAGAGGGCAAGGGACTTGTAGGCGACATGGGCCTACATTGAGAGAAAATATCCTGTCCAAAGTCTGGAGGTAACTCTATGTCTGGAATCCGATAAGATTGTGACAGCTGTATTGTATTGTGGATATTCATTTTTGTTCCACAATTTAATGTTTTCTTGTTAGCCTGTCCGATCCGGCCCAAAAATTTAAATTGGTGCTCTTTTTTTAAATAAAATACCTACAATAGTGCTCAAATATTTGTGTTTTTTTTTTTTTGTAGAATAAAATCTTTGGTGCCTAACGAGAAAAAAATAAAGAGAATTAGATAATGAAGATGGAGATTAGTTTGGAGGACCTCGCATTCTCTTAAGAGCCATTGGAAAAGAAGAGAAAGCTCAAGAGTGAAGGTGATTTTACTTACATAATCACTTCTTTTTAATGTTTATGAGAGAATATACGCTTAATGTTTTAATGAGCTTAGTTTTTTAATAGAAAAATCTATCTTAAAGGCAAATACAATAGAATTGTGTTAATCTTTAAGGCATATGAAGTTCTCAAACAAGCTCAAATACTTGAACGATGAATTTATAAAGTTTACAAAAAAGATTTATGTAAAATGATATGTGATGTAATTATTCTCTCAGAAGTAATTATTATTCCTTTTTCTCTTTCGTTTATGTGATGTTTCGTATTAAACGCATGCTCTGTAAAATTTTATATGGCATATAATTGTTTAGTATTGCTCATTGAAGAATAAAGAAAAGCTCATTTTCTGCTTTCGTTTATGTAATATTTTGTTCTTTTAAATATTGTGTACTATCGTGTATCAGTGGGTATTTCTCAGTACTTCTAGGTACATGCTCTATACTACTAGGTACATGTTCAGTATGCTAGGTTTATGTTTGGTACTAATAGGTATATGCTCAGAACTACTAGATACATGCTCGATACTGCTAGGTACGTACTTGTTATGGCTAAGTACCACTTGGTGCATGCTAGGTAGTGCTAGGTATGGCTCAGGTACTACTCGGAACATACTCTGTACATGCTCATTACAACTAGGTACATGCTTGGTACTGCTAGGTACATGCTCGTTATCACTAGGTACATGCTCGATACTACTAGTTACATGATCGTTATCGTTAAGTACCACTAAGTAGCACTAGGTACATACTATAAACATGTTTGGTACTACTAGGTACATGCTCCATACTACTAGGTAAATGTTCAGTACCACTTGGTACATACTCGGTACTGCTTGGTACATGCTCGGTACTACTAGGTACATGCTCGATATAACTTGGTACATACTAGGTACTGCTCAGTATCTCTCTAGTAATGAATGTGCATACAACAATGAATGATAAATAGTTGTCACTACTGACTTTTGGTACATGCTCGGTACCGCTAGGTATCGCTTGGTACTGCTGGTCATACATAATGTTTCTCCACCTGTGCATTCCCATAATGATTATTTTTCTATAAAAGAAAACTTTGTTGTTCAGCGACCTGAACTAACCATCTCTTAGAATGTATTGTTTAATGATCATTAATCCCTAATGAAATAGATGTAGTAGTGGTACCGAAAACCATATTTCTTACATCTTAATCAATATGATTGGTACATAATGGTATTGAAAATCATTTTTCCCTTAATATCAATTCAATGTTTATGTTGATGAACTCTCACTACCAATGCTCGGTACTAGTCGATACCTTGTCGATGCCGCTCAATAAGCAATACTAAATAACTGTATATTTCTTAATTAGATTTCTCTCATCTGAATGAATATGACTGCTATTTTTCCCTTAATATCAATTCAATGTTTATATCAATGATCGCCCAGTACTAATGTTCTTTATCACTTGGTACCCAAACTTGGTACCGCTCGGTACTACTAGGTACTGGTTGGTATCTCTCTACAGTGCCCGATATCATGCTCAGTCCACTCATTACTAGTCGGTACTTGTCAATACTTCTCCACAACCTAGCAGTACTAAATGACATCAAATGCCCATTATGTGTACCGAGAATCAGTGCTGAGAAGCTAGGACATATAAATAAGTTGAGAAAGCTTTCAAGTTTTTATAATACATATTTGTGAAAAAGATGAGAAAGGTTTAAAATGAATAAAATTATCATTGAAAATTATTAAGTGCAAATGACTTCGCTTTTACTATTGTAAATCACTGAGTATAAATAACTTACAAACTTTGAAAACAAATAGATCTTTAAAATTACTCTTACAATAAAAATTTATTCTGAGCATGTACCCAGGGGACGTTGCCCCCTTGGACCCCTACCAGGGGGCACTGCCCCCCTCAAAACCCCCAATTTATTCCTTAAATGTACAGAAAAAAAACTATCATTCATGCAACAAGTTCTTCTTTCAACTTCAACTATTCCTCCTCCTCTTCCTATGTGTTTATAGAGCAACATCTTCATAAGCTTTTCTTCCTCCGAACCACTCATCATCTTCATGAGTTTTTCCTCCTTTCTTTTTTCTTGGCATCTATTAAAATACATATTGAGATGAAATCCTAAAAATTATGAAAGTTTTAAGGTATTTCATTTAAAAAAAGAGCACCAATTCAAAATCCTAAATTCGAACATGAATATTTTGGGCCTAGTCTGTCGGCTGGAAAGAAAGTAATAAATAATGAATTGAAAATTAATATCCTTGTGTACAAGCCAAGTGTTATAATTTTATTAGAGTCTTGACATAGACCTACCTCCGAACTCCGCACAGAATAAACTCTCCTACATTCATGCCATTTATGGGGGTATATGACACAAGCGTAGTGACAATGGATTCGATTTGAGTAGAGAGATTTGGGCAGAGCATAATTAATGATTTTACCCATTATTCATTATATTTTACTATTTTATTGTATTAGAATGATCAACAAAGAGGATGGGCTTATATGATATAACTTGTCCTGACAATTGGATCTTTTTTATATGTTTAGTTGATTTAGTAAATTAATAATGATTGATTTCTTATATATTGAAATGATCAATTCTTTTATGATAATATTTAATTATAGTGTAATGTGAAATTTGGAGAAAATGATTTGTTTGTTGAGTTACTTTCATTTCTTAATTTCACCTGATCATTATTACATGCCAATTGTTGAACTACTGAACAATCTTTTGACTTTATTCCTCTGTTAATTATGTAAGCACATACATTGGAATAGAAGGAAGAAATCTATATTCTCTTTTTTGAAATATTTTGCCCTCATTTTATTTTATCAAAGTATAAAAAATATATTATTTTTCACTAATATAATTAATAATTAGAATTACTTATAGGGATAAAATTAATTATTATTTTTTATCACAAAAAATAAAATTAAAATTTTGGTAATACAAATTTTATATTTAAATTTTTATTCACATGCACGTGGAATAAAACTAATTATCCCAAATATGGACTACAATTTATTCTATTGGAAAATTATCATAAATATTTTAAGTTTGTGAATTGCACCAAGTGCCATAATAAATTCTATTTACATTTAGACTTTTCTCACATAAATTGGCACTTTGGTTTTAAGTGAAGTTTCCCTTCACAAGATTCCTAATAACAATAGATTACATTCTAAACTATATTCCTAATAACCCCATTATGCACAATAATCCATCGCCTATAAAGCCCCACCTCCACTTGGCTTACTCCTCCAAATTATGCTAAGAAGAGCTTCAAAGTTCTATTCTCATGGCGACTTCTTCTTCTCTACTCTCCTGTTATATTCTTCTCAATATCTTCTTCTATTTGCTTCTAATAGAGAATAATTTTCTAGTATTAGCGCGAGAGCTTGGCGGAGAACACCATGTCATTGACGTCAAGTCATTGTTGCCGAGCAACTCCTGCTCCATGCCTGATAAAAGTTTGTGAGAAATTTAAATAATTTCTTAATACTTTATTTGAGACTTTTTTTCATACATTAATTAGAATAAAAAAAAATTATGTAGTGATTAAGCCGATTTGATAAATATAACAAGATTAAATGCGATGCAAAAGCAAAAAAAGAAAAAAAAAAAAAAAAAAAAAAAACTTAATGCATATATTAATTAGCTGTTCCAATTATAACAGGCACGAGCCCTTCCAGGTTCAACTTGGTCCAATGGCACAGCCTATGCTCATCTCAAGAGGGGCAGGACAAGCCATCCGATCTGGAGCTTCTCAATAGGGAAAAAGCCCATGTTGACTACATCCAACGTCGGGCGACCAACACCAACACTAGCCTCAACTCTGTTGGTGGTTCTCTTTATGCACAAGTTCCAGCAAACATCGATACTTATCTTGGTATAAGCTACTATATTGTCAACATAGGCCTAGGAACCCCTGCCAAGTCCTTCTCACTTATGCTTGACACCGGTAGTGATATTACTTGGATCCAATGTATCCCTTGTGTTCACTGCTACACCCAAAAAAACCCATTTTATAACCCTACCCAGTCCTCCACCTTCACCAACATCCCATGCAACACAAACTATTGTACCCAACTCAAACGATTTGGTTGCTCCTCTAACTCCACCTGTCTCTATGAGACAAGATATGCTGACTTTAGTAGTAGTAATGGCTCTTTCATTCAAGACACCTTGACATTCTCCTCTGATACTATACACAACTTTCGCTTTGGCTGTGGACATAATAACACTGGATATTTTGGACAAGCAGATGGGTTATTAGGCCTCGGTCGGGGGGTTGTTTCAATTATTTCTCAAACAACTCAATTATATAATAATATATTCTCATATTGTCTACCATCAGGGACCAATCGAAATGGATATCTCGAATTAGGTAGATATGTCCCTGGTGTGAAGTATACACCGATGCTAACCTTCCCAAACATGCCATCCTTCTACTTCCTCAAGCTCATTGCCATTTCTATTGGGAATGCAAGGATCAACCTTTTACCTGCTAGAACTATGTTGGACTCTGGCACAACATTTACCTACCTTCCACCCTCTGCCTACTCTATCCTCCGTAGTATTTTTCGAACAAAAATGAATAAATACTCGATGGCGCCACCGCTATACAACCTCGACACTTGCTATGACCTCACTGGTCACTCAGTGGTGGACGTTCCAGAGATTGGGTTGATATATGATGGCGAAGTTACAGCTTTCTTAGATGCCTCGGGGATACTTTACATGACAAATTTATCTCAAGCATGCTTTACCTTCGCTGCAAATGATGATGAGAATGAGGTTACGATCATTGGTAATGTGCAACAACGCAGGTTCAAGATAGTCTATGATATGTGGAACTTAAAAATTGGCTTTGGGAGTAATGGTTGTAGCTAGTGATGAATCAATCGAGTTGAATGTAGTTAGAATGTAATGTGGATCGATCGATTGGGTTTAATGCAATTTTTTGATGTAGCTAGAATTAATAGGTTTCTTCATGTTGGTTATAAAATCAAGCCGTGTGGGACAATAAATGTAATCATTATAAAAGTTCAATGGTATCCAAATTTTATGAAATAATTAAATACCAAATGAAGGCAATTTTATATGAGTTTATGAAAACCATTAAGATCTCCTTAATTTATTTATAATTATGGAGGAATAATGACATCAATTGTTGGAGGTTTAAATTTTTATTATCAGAGGTAAAATGCCATCTTTCTTCATAGAAGAGCTTATAATTAAAAAAAATGAAGACTGATTGTTGTGATGAATTTTTTTCAGTGTTAAACCCTTTAAAAGTAAAATCATCGCATGTTTTCTTTTTTGTTATGTTATGTAAATGGAAGCATTTAAGGCTTGTGACCCATTGGTCCGTACAACCTAACACCTTATAGCTTTGATACACCCAAACCCATATTCCTTAAATATGATGACATTTAGCTAATTTTGGCAACTCACATACCGATCACTTAACAACCTTAGAACACAAGAACTCTGGTTAAAAATTTTAAACAATGAGAAAGATGGTACAATAAAGAAATTTTAGATGAGAAAGTTTTTGAAGAAAAGTTCAGGTAGAAGAGATTCTTTCATGTAAAGCAACATGTACAATGATATTTGTTATAGTGTTTATATATATAAATGTGCAGCTTAGTACAGGTGAATGGCTAGGATGAAATTAGTTTGTTATTATCTAACTATAATCAGCATAAGGATGAGTTGTTTTTAATTGCCAAAGCTTCCAAAAGATCAATGAAAGTGGCAAAATGATCCATTATGTGATTTACATTTTATTAATTTTAAAGAATTTTTTTTCCTAAATATTACGCACCAACACTAAACATTTTTGACTCAGCCACTATCTACATGCATCATGTATGTGTATGGTCATCCAAAATTATTTTAAGATTTACAGACCAATGTTCATCCATAAAAAGAAATTCTAATCTCTAGCTCAAGCTTTAGTGAGGGGAAATTATTAGGTTCGGTCTCCGGACGCATCTATACGTCCGGAATCCAATAGTATGATTCCACATTACTACTCGACTACCCGACGAACCTGCTCGATTTATTTATCATGTAGTTTTCCATTTACCTTTTACCACTCAGGTTTGCTGAACAGAACTGGGTTCCCTACAAAAATTTAAAAAAGGTTGTTCTTTTTTATTCTATTTTATGAGAAATTGGTAGTTTTTCTAAATTAGGGTTTAGGGTAATTTCTTAGAAGAGCTCCAAGAAGAGAAGCGAGGAGGACAAATCAAAAAAGGAAATCTCTGTGGATGACTTAGAATCGTTCAAGGAGATGGAACAGACCAAAGATGTAAAGGAAGAAATGTCAGAGTGGACAATGAAACAAATGTCTAGGATTTTTATCGTAAGTTATAAACTGAGAATATATTTTAGCAAGAGATCTTATGAATGTAGAGTTAATGTTTATAGTAGTATTAAAGTTGAGAAAATTCCATGTATTGCTTCTCGGTGCCCAGTGGTGGTATTAGCTCAGTATTTTTTGATCCACAGCTCTGCTCTCGATAATTTTTTGTCCATGGTACTGAGTGGTACAGAGAGGTACTGAGCAAAATATCGAGTACCGAGAAAGATGTAGAGTGAAGTACCAAGCGATACCTAGTAGAATTCTGAGTACTGAAAAAGTTGTCGAGTGAAGAATCGAGAGGTACAGAGTAGAATACCGAGTACCAAGAAACATGCAGAGTAAAGTATTGAGTAGTACTGAGAAGAATACCGAGCACTGAGAATAAATATAGAGAGAAATTCCGAGCAGAATATCGAGTACCGAGAAAAAAATACATAAAGAGGTACCAACTTGTACAACTAACTGATTGTTTATTGCTAACATTAAAATTGTTTTCACATTTGGGAAAGATGTTTATTGAAGTGAGAAGGAAGTATATTACATGTATTGCAATTATGCTCATAACATCGGATTCAGTGTTTGGAAGAACCATCATGGTTTCTGGCCAAATTCAAGGAAAATTAAATCAAAGGACTTTGTATATATGAAAGATAGATTTAAGAAGGGCATTGACTTGAATTCCAATTCAAAACATCGAAGAGCAAACACTAGAACTGAGTGTCTAGCTATGGTTAGATCTTTAGTAAGTCAAGATGGAGTTTGGAAGGTTCAAAAATACATTGGGAGCCACAATCATGAGTTATCTAGGCTTGAAGATCAACATTTGCTTAGATCATGTAAGAACATCAATGATGATAAGGCCCGAGTTCTTAAATCCATGACATAAGCTGGGATACCAGTAGCTGATGTATTTACGTATCTACACGATGAAGTAGGTGGTGAAGGAAATATAGGATTTTTTAAGAGGGAATATATAACTTTATTCAAAAGGAGCGAAAATCAAAGATTGAGAATGGGGACACGAATGCCCTTATTGAATTATTTATAGAACGACTAATTTATGATAACATGTTTGCATGAGATGTACAAACTAACGAGAATGATAGATTATTGATTTTTTTGGGTAGATGGTTTAGGGAGGATAGATTATTACTGTTTTGTTGATTTGATTAATTTTTATAGCAGCTATAGTCTTAACAAATATAATTTAGCTTGTACCCCAATTGTTGGAATAATTAATCATTAGCAGAATATTCTTTTAGCAGTTGCTTTTTTATCGGAGGAGACTATTGAATCGTTTACCTGGTTATTTAAAACATTTTTATGAATAATGGGTGATAAACTTCCCTTAAAAATATTTATTGATTAGTACCAAGCAATGGCCAGGGCGATTGAAATTGCATTTCCCCAAACATGACATAGGTTGTGCCAATGACATGTAAGCAAGAAGGCTCCATCCAAGATTTGGTGCTATAATCTCAATAATAGAGTTAGAGGGATTTTTCATAAGTGTTTAATAAGTGTGATCTTGAAGAAGAGTTCGAGAAATCCTTGGTTGAATTGATTAATGAAGGAGACCTCCAAAGCCATGAATTGTTGAAAGATATATATAAAATAAGAAATAAGTGGTCAACATCATTTAATAAGAATTGTTTTAACCTACGCATTCTTTCTACACATCATAACGAGTCCACCAACAATATATATCACGGCATTTCCAAGGAAACAAGTTTTATAACTAAATGTTTTTTGGGGTTAGAAAAGCTGATGATGAGTGGGTGTCAAAATGAATATGATGAAGATTTTATATGCAGCCAGTCTGACATAGTTCCTATAGTTAAAAGTCGCTAAAAATTGAAACAAACTGCAAATTTTTACACAATGAAATTAAATTCTATTTTTGAGGAGTTCTTAAAGGGTGTTTCTATATGCGCTTAGATCATGCATCTAATGTTGGATTCATATTTTTTTTGTGAAAGTTGATAGAAAATATTAGACTTCTCATTGGACGATTCACTTTAATTCAATAGAAGGTACAATTAAATGCAGCTATGTGAAGTTCAGTATGATGGGATAACTTTGTTCTCATTGTATGAGAGTTATCAGACAATTAAATATTGTTAGAATTCTTTCATAGTACCACTTGCCTCGATGGTTAACTAGAGCTAGGAAAGATTTTTTCTGGATAGGTCACAGGAATTGGAAAGAAAGTGAGCCAAACATAGGAGGGTGATATTGCTATGATATTTAGAAATCATGTAAGCAGATTTTCATATCAAGTTAGCACACAAGCACAGGGGAATGAAGATGCTGAATAGTATATGTTGTTAGTAATGATCGAGATGGCTAAAAATGTTGACTTCATCATTGTAGGAAAGAAGAAAAACAAGCCATTTATTCACCAGAGAGCAACTGGGGGACTTAAGAATGTTAAAGTTCCCTTAGAAGTGCAATCCTAAAAACATTTCTAATGCAAGATTGAAGATTCACTAGGAGATAAGAAAAAGTAAGAAAAAGAAATATTTAGAACAAGGCCCTCAAACCACAGAACAGTGTTCAGTCACAAAAGAACCTACAATAAAGCTGCCTTTAACACAAAAACTAGAATGCTTGATAGATGGGTTCATTAATGGTTGACCAAGCACACAACCATCATCTGAATATACATGAATGACGAAGGGAATTATTGATGTAGAGAAGAATGTGTGATATGGTACATTTATATTTCAAATATTTCCTTGAACAATGTATTAATGATTTTATTTTCTATATCTTTTTAACAATTTGGCATGTTAGTTTTCAATGTAAATTTCCATAAGTTGTTACTGCTTGGTACACTTGATATTGGTCTTTAAACTCAGTATTTATCTTTACTACTTTGTAAAGTTGGTACTTAGTACTTATCGGTATTTGGTATTTCTCGGTATTACTTGGTACCCTCAGTACTGGTCTTTAAACTATGTCTTTCTCGGTACAACTCGGTACACTAGGTACTTGGTATTTTTTTCGTAGTACTCGATACACTCAGTACTATGCTTTACACTCAGTACACTCACTGCTCAGTATCTTAATGCTTGGTACCTTAACGCTATTTCTATTGGGTACTACTCAGTACACTAGGTACTTAGTATTTTTCAGTACTACTTGATAAACTTGATACTGTGCTTTACACTCGGGTACACTCATTTCTCATTATCTTAATGCTCCGTACCTAAATGCTATATATATTGGGTAGATGTTGCATGTAAGATATTCATATTGAGACTGATGGGTGGTTGCAACAAGTAGTTTATGAGAACATTTTTGCTAAATCACCTACTACATCATCTTCTCTGTGAACTTCAGATAAAATTTTGAGTGTTATTAGTAACAATCTTGTATGTTCTACAAACTGTGTTGACGGGAAATTAATTTACATCTTGTTATGCGAATTGAAGTATTCATGAACATTGAAACAATTACAATGCATGAAAAAATTTCAGAATCTCTCGATGGTCTACTTAAAATGCTAGCAAGGGAT